GGGAAATTCTCATCTACAATCATGTTTAAGATCTGGTTAACACCATTTACCTGAAATTCTTCTCTTTTCTCTATTCCTATGGTCTGTAGATTTGGTCTTTTTATGGTGTCCCATATCTCTTGCATATACCATTCCTGTGTTTTTTAAAAATTTCCATAGTCTTTGCTTGAGTGGTCCAATTCTTCAACGTTGTCCTCCAGTGTTGATATTCTCTTTTCCGTTTCATTCATTCTAGAGGTGAGGCTTTCCCCTCTTGTTTGTAGTTGGCTTATTGAGATTTTTACTTCCGTCTTCATTTCTGCCTGAATTTTCTTCAATGTTTCTATCTCTTGTGCATTCATTCAGAAGTTTATCCCTGTGTTCCTTCAGTTCTTTAATTTCTTTTTTTGTGTGTTCTTTAAATTCATTGAATTCTTTTATCATGTTTATAACTGTTCTTTTGAGTTCCACGTCCTGCATTATCTCTAGGGGGTTCTAATTGTACTCCTCTAGAGGACTATTGGTATTTGGTGGGGCCATATTCTTTCATTGTAGTTTTGGCATGTGAATTTCTTTTGTTGTTTATGATTCTGATACGAGAATTAAGTTGAAGTATGCTTCTGTTTGTGTTATGCTGGTGTCTAGATCTGTCCTTTAGTGGTTATATAAGGCTGCTTGGCACAGGGTTCAGGTTCTCTCAGGTTTAATTTGGAGGGAACTGATGGCTTCAGATCAACTATTCAGGGGTACCCACAGAAGCCTGATTCAGGTTCCAGTCAGGTACACTCAGGCTTCCTTCACCACGTGGAGGCAGGATCCAGGCTCTCTCAGGCAGTCCTGTGCATTGTCAAACCTATGCCAGAGGGAGGCCAGAGGGGAACCAGAACTCGGCACTCTCTGGTGGTCTGCTGGGATCCCAGCCTTAGCCTACCAAAGACAGATCTGCCCTGGGGCCTTGGGATGGGCCGCACCAAATCCCAGGTAGGGGGATTATATGGTGCATTTAGGGGGAGCTCACCACAACGTGGTGGCAGGATGGGAGGCTGTCAGGCTGTCCCCTGTGTTCTCAGGCCTTCTGGTAGCTGGATGCCAGAGGAAGGCCAGAACCTGGCACTGTCTGGCGGTCTGCTGAGCCCCCAGCTAGACACACCTCAGGCTCCCACCTCATTGTGAAGGTACACTCTTCGTCCTTTCAAAGTGACAGGTTTGTTCTCCTTCCTTCTCACCCGATATGTCTGGTTGGGGCAGGAACACCTGGCTCTACAGCAATCCAGAGCCCAAGGAAGTCAGGCTTCTGGTAAAGCGCCGTGCACCATGGTAGACAAGAAACCTCAATAGGAAGGAAAGGTTTTTCAAAAATGACAAAAGATCTGAATGGACACCACACCTAAGAACACACATACACATGAGACATGTTCATGAAACAGATGCCTGCCGCCCTGTGTCATGGGGGAATTACAAAACAAGGAGCTATTTCCCTACACTGAATAGAAGAGCCAAGACCCCAAACACTGACCACATGAAATTGAGTGATGAAAACCAGGTACTCTCCTCATAGCTGGGGGGAGTGAGAGAGGGCACAGCACTTTGAAAGGCAGCTTGTCAGTTTCTTGTAAAACTAAACATACTCTTCCTATGTAATCAGCAAATTGTCTTGTTTTTTAAAAAATAATTTTATATTTATAAAATAAATATTTTATATTTATTGATTGCATGAATGTAAGTGCACCTGGGTTGTGCAGTGGAGGTCAGAAGGTTTCAGATTCCCTAGAACTGGAGTTACAGATGGTTGTTAGCACCATGTGGGTGCTGGGAGCCAAACCCAGATCCTCTGCAAGAGCAGCCAGTGCTCTTAACTGCTGAGCCATCTCTCTAGCCCCACATTGTCTTGTATTTTTCCAGTGAAGTTGAAAATTTATGAATACAAAGATCTGCACATGGATGTTCACAGGAGTTTTAGTCATAATTATTATAATTAGGAATCAACCTAGATGGTCATCAGTAGATGGATGGGTACATAAACTGTGGTATATCCAGACAGTGGAATATTATCCACACTACAAACTGATTCTGTGACATTCTGGAAGAAGCAACTACAGAGACTGAAAAGATTCAATAGTATCAGCGATTAAGAAAGAGAGGAAGGCATGGTGGCCATGCCTTTAATCCCAGAACTCAGGAGGCAGAGGCAGGCTGATCTCTGTGATTTCAAGGCCAGCCTGGTCTACATAGTGAATTCCAGGACAGCTGGAGCTACAGGGAGATCCTGTCTCAAAAAGATCAAAAAAAGAAAGGGAGGAATGAACTGTCAAATTACAAGCAGTTTTTAGGACAATGAAATTTCTCCTTGTGAGATTATAGTGAGAGGAACTTGTCTTTATACTTGAGACTAAATCCCCACACAGCATCCAACAGCAAACCATAATGTAAGGGATGAGTGTTGGTTGACAACACAGCTCCTTCAGTGCAAATGTACACTCTATTGTGGGACTTCATAGGTGGAAGCTGTCTGGAAAATGGCAGGAAATTTCAGTGCTTTCTTACTGAATTTTTTAGGATTTCATACAATATATTTTGATCATATTCAGACCCCCCCATCTGCACATCCCTTACTCCCCCCACTCCATTTCATGTTCTCTATTATATACATATATATTTAAGGACTACTAAGTCTAATTTGTGTCCGCAAATGCCCTTCTGTGTGGGTCTATCCACTGGACTCTGGCTAAACTGCCAAGCATCACAGCTTTAAAGAAAACTGACTCTCAGTACTTACTTCTTAATTTTGCTGTGAACCTAAAACTTCCCTAAACATAGTCCACTTAAAATAGTAACAAAAACTGAAAGGAAAGAACAGACATCAGAGGGCTTTGTGGTTGCTCAGGGCAAATATTTTGCCGCCCAATTTGTGTCACACACAGGCACACAAAGTAATTGTTTCCCTTTCTGTGGGTCACTGTATTGGAGTTCTGAGGTCCCCAGAGACTGTTTCTTGAAACAGCAAAGACCATCACACCTTGACATCGCATGTGGTTGGAACAGAAACTGAGAGATATGAAAGAGACTCCAGATGGGCTATCTCCCACAGGGATGTATTCTGCTTCCTTGGACCCCACCACCACCACCAATAGACCCCCAGAATCAGCACAAACATACCCATGAGGAGCAGGTCTCAGATCTTACTGTAAAAGCATCACAATAATGCTTCTCCACCACTCAGCCTTCAACCTCCTCTGCATGCTTATCCTTGATTCCTAAATCAACCAGAAGTGCCTGGATCAGGGTGCAAAGGTCGGACTTGGTACACTAATGTTGTGTAAGTGCATGAGGGCCTGGCTGCTTGGGCACATAGGTATGTGAATGGGCAGCGTAATCAGTCAATATATCAATCAACACCCTTAGTTAAGGGAAGACAAGGGAAAGAAGTGTGAGTCTCTCAGGCCACTGGTAAATCGCTGCCCTGTTGATGCACAGATGGCAGCTGTGGGGTTTGAATGAGAACTGTCTCCCACAGGCTCATGTCTTTGAACACCTGGTCCCCAGTTGGTGGTACTGTTTCAGGAGGTTGCAGAACCTTTAAGAGGTATAGCCTTGCTGGAGGAAGGACGTCACTGGGAGAGCGGGCTTTGAGAGTTCATAAGCTTGTCCTACTTCCTGTTCTTTCTCCTTGTGTCTACTATCGAGGATGGGAGCTTGCAGCACCTTACCACCATGTCTGTCCTCCAGGAGCTATGTTTACCTGCTGCTGTCCCTCCCCCACCATTATGGACTCTCCCTACAGACCCATAAGTCAAAATAAACTCTCCACAAGACATGGCCATGGTGTTTTATCACAGAACCCAAACTGTAACTAATACAGTAGGGTACAGCCCACTGCGGTCTACCTTTCTATTTGCAATAGGCTCCTGCCACTGTGATTCTTAGACAATGAGAGGGTTCCTTTCCAGCAGGCGAAGCACAGGAGTGTATCCACGAAGGGCGTGGAGATGAACTGCCCTGGGCCAGGGCCATTCCACACATGTTCATCCCACATGCAGCTGAACAAATGCACCAACTGCTGTAGTTTCAAGACTCATTAGGTGCTCAGGGGGTTCCAGGAGGGACGGGAGAAGGGAAATGAAATAACCAAGAGTCACAGGGAAAGAGACACATTTATTGAACACCTGTTCAGCTGTGCACGTTGTTCACACACACTCACACATGATATGACTGTTACAGATTACCCAAGTCTGCTGTGATGAGCCACTCATCAAGAAAGACAAGCAGCCACCAGACAACCCTATTTTACAATCCACACAATTGAAATTAACAATAGGAACAGGAAAGAGTCCAAGTGCGGCTTAGGAGAAAAGTCACACCCCAGAATGCTTCGTTACCCCAGCTTTCCCATCTATGGAACAGACACAAGTTGCCACCAAGTTACTGCCAACCCTCCCTTGTGACATCATTTTGCTTCCGGTAGCTTGAAGCTCGGAGGGCGCCCACCTCTCAGGGCGGATTCTGCTGTCTGGATAGGCACTCTGTCCCAGAGGTCAGAGCATCTCTGTCTGCAGATTCCTCCTCTTCCTACTGCAAGCATCTCCTGGAAGGTGACAATTTTAGGTTGCTACTCCCTGAGCCGTCTCCAGGCACAGCTGAGGACCGAGGCTCACAGGCGCCATTTCTTAAAGTTTCATTTCCAGGAAAGAGGTAAATTCGGCAAGCATCTGCTCAGGCTGCATAGCACCAAGAGTTTCAACAGAATTGGCAGCCATTCTTCAGCTGGTGCTGATGGGAGCTGAGCCTGGAAACCAACCCCTGTCCAAAAGGAAGCTCTCTCAGCTCAGGGGAAGAGGGAAAACCCAGAATCATCACCCTATGAAATAACAATAAACAACAGTATAATTGATGATAACCTGACTAACCGGCAGTTTCTTTTGGTTTTAGTAATTTTGAGGTCTCTCAAGAAAATAAAAAAAGGAAGGAGGGAGGGAGGGAGGGAGGGAGGGAGGAAAAAGGGGAGGAAGGAATGTTGGGGGGAAGGATGGACAGGCAGGGAAGGAAGAGAAGAAGAGGAAGCGAGAGGCAAAGGAAAAAGAAGACGGGTTGGAAGTGAATCAAGGCATCCAGCTTCCCACTGGGCTCCGACTTCAAGTTTCAGAAATCCACCATAGTCTTGTGATTTTCTAGAATCTTCTATGGGCCCTTCACATTACTTGGCCTGGCAGCAAGGCTGGCAAAATAAGCACACTGGGATGGGTCACACTGGCCAGGAGGGCCGGGCGGGCCTGGAGGGCCAGGATGTCCAGCTGGTCCTGTCTCCCCTTGCGGCCCAGGGCTCCCTGGGAGTCCATCTTTAGCATAGCCAGGTTCCCCGGGTTGACCTGGCCCAGGAAGCACAAGAAACAGAAGTTAGTTCACAGCCAGGAATAGGCTCATTTCCAAAAACAAGTGAGCCCCATGCTCAATGTGCCCACTTGATATGAACCTGAGATGTGATGTATCCTCAGAGAGAACAGCCCCTGCCTGGGCTCTCCAGACTGAGTGAGAGAATGGCTCACAGGACCAACAGGCCCAGCAGCACCTTGGCAAGCATGAGGACAGAAATCCAGCCACCCCAAGACAGACAGACAGGCAAGAGCCGGCCAAGGCTGCATGCTCTGTATTCAAGTCGGATAAGAGACCAGGATTCCAGGTTCCAGCAGCTACATAATTCAGAGTGGACACCCAAAACAAGCCCTGGGGACTGAGCCTGGGCCCTGATGCTCCTGTCCTTGCAGGACACCCAATGGCATTCTACAGTCCAAACTGTCTACACCACTTCAGCCTTCCCACATGAACCCCTGCATTCCGAGGTTCTTCTGCGCCCACACTTCCCCTCCCAACATGACAACCGCTGTGTTCCAGATCTTCCAAACAGCCACTAGGCACAATGCCACCTGGCCACCATTTTCCCAGCTATTTTTTGGTTTCAGAAATAACACTCCCACAATCTCAGAACCCCTCAGTCACAGGGCGGGGGTGGGGGGCTAAACACCTACCCACTGGCTCAGATTCCCCAGGCATATTCTGAGAACGAGTGTGTAAAGAGAACAAAAGAAGGAGTTCACGTTCAAGTGAGTTTGGGAAATGTGTAGCTGAACAAGACGAATAAAATTTTTCCCATAGGATTTCTTACTATTGAGGTTAACATGCAGCAGGGAAGTCCTAAAGGAGGATGTGTTTCCAACGTTCCTGGACTTATTTAACCCATGTGAGTCCCCCTCTTCCACAGAATCATTTCTCAGTATATTTGGTCATTTATCATTTTTAATTGGAAAGTAATAATTCTGCATATCTGTGTGGTACAATATGCCTTTTTTTCAGGACGTGTATACAACATGCAATGATCAAGTCACAGCAATTAGCATATGTCCCACCTCAGATATTTATCATTTATGCTCAGAATATCAAAATCCTTCCTTCTTGTTATATTGAAAAGCAAATTAGTCACTGTGACTTTTGGCTCATAAGGATTACCTCAACAGGTTCAATTTTAGAAAGACTGATCATTTCTGTTCAGCTGAGCCCAGCCTTTCTTCCACCCACAGACATGCACACAGCTGTGTGCCGTCCCTTCCTTGGTGGATGTCTGCCCAGCCCTGAGATCCCAGACGCTTCCTACCTGGGATTCCAGGGGGGCCCATCTCTCCTCGGAGGCCAACTCCAGATGCACCTGGATCACCTTTGGCTCCTCGCTCACCTGATAGGAAGAACATGCATCTTGAGTAGTGGAGACCCATAATGAGATCAGAGAGGGAGTCCTGACCCACAGACATGCAGGTGAAGCCAGTACCACAGAGGCACTGCGTTCAAAACAGACTTGCTCACACACTCCCTCTGCACAATATGCTGCCATCACACACACACTCTTTCACAGACACACATACTCAAGTACATAATCACACTCAGAATATGTACATGTAAACACCAAAATAAACAGATACTAGCTCTTGAATACATGCTCAAATACACACATTTACATACAAGCATTCACTCAAATGCATATCTACCCACCAACATACACAAATCTACATTTTCTCGCATAGTAACAAATGCATAGCACACACATTTATGCTCACTCGACCACAGGCAACCAAACACATATACCCACAATGGTCTCTCACGCACAGCAGCATGCCCTCAGGCACGGACACGCTGTCCTGTCTTCTCATTTTATTGGAAGCTTCAGGAAGAAGGAGCAAGACTGAGAAATGAATTCCACACATTAGGTGACGTGGCTAATACGGCAATAACATCCAGCTCTCGTCTCGGGGAGATAGAAGTAGACCAAGACAGCTGGGACAGAGTCGAAGGAATGCTCCAGCAGATCCAGAGGGCGGTACATACCACCCTAGGAATAAGCAGGAACACATGGTACATACTCAAGGACAGAGCATTCCTTCTGGGAGGACAGCTGAGATGCATACAAGTAAGAGTGTGCAGATTTGAAGGAGGAACCCAGCTGATCATACTCTGTGACTACCACACTGAAAACCCTGGTGATACGCAATCTACTGCTATGCTATTCCCGCAGCCAGAACCACAGCACAGCCATCACAACCACTGCCAACGGATGCATCACCACCATGGGAGCAGAGACAGTGTGCCCCAACCCATGGGGCGTGCAAGTCAACCTCTCTGTCTCACTGTCTCTCTTGCTCTCTTTCGCTCTTGCTCTCTCCCTCTCTCTCTTTCCCTCTCTTGCTCTCTCACTCTCTCGCTTTCTTTTTACTCTCTCTCTCTCTCATCTTTTTATTATTTGTACTTTTGCTGTGTTCCTTCCAAAATACATCCTATAATATCACAGATTTTCTATAATCTAAATTTAAAAAGTCTTCAGGTTCCTGGGAACTTTAGGGCACTCCTATTTATTGTGTCGATTTTTACATTTGGGCAGTATTCTGACATCATCCAATGTCTTCTATAAATCATGCTTTCCCATGGACAATCATTTTTCATGTTTTGTTTTATGAACTAATGTAGACAGAACAAAGACGCACAAATTTTAAAAAATGCCTTTCAAGAAAGAGAATTATCACAGGGAATGAATGAATGAACAGTAAGGACATGGACAATCAGAAGAGATCGATGTTAGGGTCATCCATGTCTCTAGCTCAAGGTCATGAAAATAAACTCATAGGTCTAGCCATTAGAGTTAATTCCAGACCAGGGAGTATGGTATCAGACCCTCCCATGTCCTTCCTGCCTGCCTGGCTGCAGGAAGACAGCATCCTGAGCAGCTTGCCATGTGGAGGGCTTCCCTGGGACAGGCCCCACCCCGTGGATGACAGCCCTCCTATGATCCAGAGCTCTGGTGATCAGATAGACCACCCTGCCTGAAAGCTGGGCATTCAGCAGCCATTTTTAGCCACAGCTCAAAGTCACTTTGTCAGATTTTAAAGCTGGCATTTAATCTCCATTGCCTGTAGATGAAATGTCATATTCTGCAATCATATCTAAACTGGGTGGGAGAGAGAAAAACATTTGGATCACCCTAAAACTTGAGCAAGGGAGACTGAGAAGAAGCAGGAGAGGAAGAAGAAATGGATTCACTCGCCCTAGCAGAAGTATAATTTTTGCAAAACTGTCAAGTACGAAAATCTTGAATGTATGAGAAAATTACAGGATGCCAACATTCAGTGTTACCAAGCTGCTGGGTAGGACAGAATGAATAATTCTCCACCAGGCACGCACCCCACCCCAGTTCCCGCTCAGCTCTCGCCAGCCTCTTCCGCATCCACTCACCTTTGGGGCCTATTGGTCCAGAGGGTCCTTCCAGACCCCCCTGGCCAGGCCGGCCTGGCTCACCCATGGGGCCTGCCTGGCCTGGAAGCCCATCTTTTCCCGGGGGTCCTGGGGGCCCAGGTCTGCCTTGAGAGGACTTCATATGTGCTGGGGGCATCTGGGCCAGGAGGTAGGCGAGTTTGGCTATGGACAGGAAAACATGAGACAGTTCATGAAGAATGGCGATAGGACAAGGCAGAGCGGCTCCTTGCAAGCCGGAAGTGGAGGGGATGAAAACCCAGGGATATAAGCAATGCATACACCACATCGCTAGAAGACAGCAGAGGGACAGCTCCAGTCCATGAACTTCTGCCTGTGGACACAAGGTGACTCAGGCAGTGGCCATCCCTGCCTATGGGGCCTGGCTACCTTGGTGGGACGTGGAAGGCCAGTGAACTTGGCCAATCCATCTGACCTCTCCCTCTTGCTTCATTTCTACGAGAGAGAAGCAAGGAAATAATAATCCCCCACTAAAGTACGGATCTAACGAGGGAAAACCCTGCCTGGCCCCCAGTGAGTATCCAGGAGACAGGGCGGCTGGCACAGCGATAGGACCAACTGCAAAAGGCCCAGAGGCAGGGCTCCTGTGGGCCACACAGTGGCCACAGCAGCAGCTGCAGCAGGAGGGGCCAAGTCAGGACTGGCAGGAGCAGCTCCACAGAATGCAAAATGAGTATTAGTAGGGCTGGTAGAGAAGAGCAGGAGGGGAGCCGCGGCCTTGTTGGGAGGAGGGATGACAGCAGTAGCGACACTACCAGGAGCAACGTTGGTGTGGCAATTGCCATG